GTGATCCCTTATTGGTTTCCAAGACTAACTATTTTTTTTTTTACTAACTATTAAGGGGAGCAGAAAGCCCAGTCTCTCTCCCTTGGAGGTGCTGGTGGTTTCAAACTGCTGACCATGCAGAACACAGCCCAACTCGTAACCACTATACCACTTTACTAAGAGAATATTACCCCTACAGAGAGTGCCAACTTGCTGACTGGGGCATTATTTTGACACAAGATAATTTGTTATTAACAAAATGTCCAAAAGAAATAGGTAAAACATTATGGACTGTTCCCTGGGGAAGGAAAAAAAGTTCTTTTTAGAGATTTATCCCAGTTATAATATTTGTAGTAGACTCTTTCTTGTTATTCCTAGTTGACATCATGGCCATACTCTGAGATGGACCTAAGTGAAAATATGCATGCTTTTGTAGTAGCTGCTTAGTGCTGTGAAGAGATGCCCCTCGCCCCACACTCAAGGTCAACTCAAAGATGAATTCAATGGGGTGGATAGCAGATGGTAGGCAGTGATGTGGAGGAAAGGTGCAGCCAACCTAGTGACCGTCGATAGCAAGGAGGTAGAGAAGTCAAGCTCACTAAACATGCCACGCCCTGTGCTCGGGTCTTTTTGATGTGTGTGTAAAGAGTGACATCAAAGTGTTTTCTAAAAGCAGGATACCCAGGATACTTTTTACAACCTTGGTGGAAGATCTGGGCCAGAATTTACCCCAGTAAAGCAGAAGACTGGACAGAACCCTTCTGAGACCTCCTCTTTTTAAAAAAAAATCATTTTATTGGGGGCTCGTACAACTCTTATAACAATCGATACATCCATCCATCCATTGTGTCAAGCACATTTGTACATCTGTTGCCCTCATCATTCTCAAAAACATTTGCTTTCCACTTGAGCCCTTGGTATCAGCTCGAGACTTCCTTTTTGTGATGACAAAGAGAAAAGCTATTTTTCAACCCATTCATCTCTAATACTCTCTTTGGCAAGGGGAATTAATATTCTTTAAAAAAAATTTTTAATTCTGACTTATATGAACTATTTGACAGAATAGATTCACCCTTCTGGGTTTCCTGGGATATCTATCTATGTGTGTGTGTGTGTGTCTGGGCACAATGTGCTTTATTGATGGTACGTGACAAGGTTGGGCTTTCTAAGCCCCTCCTATTCTTCAGGGGTCTGGATGGAAACTTGGGATGATGGGATAGTCTCTGTATGCTAGGGAATTGCCTGGGGCAAAGGCTCTCCAGCAGCTGAGGGCCTCTCGCTTCCTCTAGTGCTGTTGCTGGAGCTGGTGGTTCAGGGTGACTCTTACTCCTTGGAGGCCATGTGGACCATAAGGTCCACCACTCTGTTGCTGTAGCCAAATTCATTGTCATACCAGGAAATGAGCTTGACAAAGTGGTCATTGAGGGCAGTGCCAGCCCCAGCCTCAAAGGTGGAAGAGTGGGGGTCACTGTTGAAGTCCCAAGAGACAACCTGGTCCTCAGTGTAGTCCAGGATCCCCTTTAGGGGACCCTTTGATGCCCGCTCTACCACATTCTTGATGTCATCATACTTGGCAGCTTTTTCCAGGCAATAGGCTAGATCCATGACTGAAACATTGGGGGTAGGACATGGAAAGCTGTGCCAGTGAGCTTCCCATTCACTCCGCGATAACCTTGCCCACAGCCTTGGCAGTGCCAGTAGATGTGGGGATGATGTTCTTGGCAGCCCTATGGCCATCATGCCAGTTTCCCCAGAGGGGCCATCCATGGTCTTCTGGGTGGCAATGATGGCATGGACTGTGGTCATTGAGTCCCTCCACAATGCCAGAGTTGTTATGGTGACATTGGCTGGGGGCCTGGGGGTGGCAAGCAGTGGGTGGTGCAGGAGGCATTGCTGACAATTTTGAGGGAGTTGTGATATTTCTCATGGTTCACACCCATCACAAGCATGGGGCTGTCAGCAGATAGGGCAGATGATCACCCTTTTGGCACCACCCTTCCAGTGAGCCCCAGCCTTCGCTATGGTTTTGAAGACACCAGTGGACTCTGTGACATGCTTGAAACCAGCCTCACCCTACTTGATGTTGACAGGATCTCACTCCCGGAGATGATGATAAGCTTCCTGTTCTCAGTCTTGATGGTGCCATTGAACTGCCCATAGGAGGAATCATACTGGAACATGTTGTAGACCATGTAGTTCAGGTCAACGAAAGGGTCATTGATGGCAACAATGTCCACTTTGCCAGACTTGAAAACAGTTTTGATGGCCAGGCACCCAGTGCAGCTAAATCCATTTACTCTGACCATCACCATCCTGTCACGGGGATGCATCTGGAACTGCAGGAGAAGATGGAGCTGGAGGAGCTGAGAGCCACCAGGCCATAAATCCTTATGGGAGCAGAAGGCCATGTCTTTCTTCCAAGGAGCAGCTGTAGTTGTTGTTGTTGTTGTTGTTCTTAAACTCTCTGTCATCTGGTCAATGCTGATTCATAGTGATCCCCTATGTTTCCAAGTCTGTAACTGTTGACTGGCGGAGAAAGCTCAGGCTTTCTTCCCAGGAGATGTTGATGGTTTCAAACTGCCGACCACTCAGATATCAGCCCAACAGTAACCACTATACCACCAGAGCTCCTGTTGGGTGCCATCGAATGGACTCCAGCCCATAAGGAACCTGTGTACAACAGAATGAAACACTACCTGGCCCTGCACCGTCCTCACAGTCGTTACTGTGCCTGAGTCTCCTGTTGCAGCCACTGTGTTGTTAATCCATCTCCTTGAGGGCCTTCTTTTTTTGCTGCACCTCTATTTTACCCAGTATGATGTCCTTCTCCAGAGACTGGGCTTTCCTGCCTGACAGGATGTCAGTGTGGAAGATGAAGTCTTGCTATTCTTGCCTCTAAAGAGCACTCTAGCTGTACTTCATCCAAGATTTGTTTGTCCTTTAGCAGTCCATGGTACTTTCAGTATTCTTCTCCAGCACCACATTTCAAAAGCATTGATTCTTCTTTGGTCTTCCTTATTCAATGTCTAACTTAAACATACTTATGAAGGAATTGAAAAACCATGGCTTAAATCAGGTGCACCTTAATCCTCAAAGTAACATCCTTGCTTTTCAATACTCTAAAGAGGTCTTGTGCAGAAGATTTACCCAATGCAACACGTCTTTTGATCTTATGTCTACTGCTTCCACAAGAATTGATTGTGGATCCCTGGCATTAATATTCTCACATTAAATGAAAACACTGAATTTTTAATGGCTTTCCCGGGGCTTTGTGACTGCAAAAAAGAGAGGATGTGAAGAAATGATATATTATTCTTTCTAATTTGGCAGTTAGATTTTCTTTTCCCTGCTAGTCAGTCCCCTACTGTATCTAGCTTGGACGCAAAGCCCAGACAACAGCCATAACGCTTACACAGCTTTCCTCCTACACCTCATGCCCACCCCTTCTGCTTGGTGCATTCTCCATTGTGTTGACTCGCTTGTTGCACTGGCCACTCCTATGTGGCTGAAGAGTGGTTAATGTTTTTCCATGGCCTTTGCTTAGATAAGGAGCCCCAGTGTCATAGTGGATTGTGCATTGGGCTCTTAATTGCAAGATCTACTGTTCAAACTCACCAGCTGTTCTGTGAGAGAAAGACAAAGTTATCGATTCCCTTAAAGAATTGAAACGCCAGAAACCTACAGGAAAAGTTCTACTTTGCCCTATAGGGTTGATAGGAGTCAGAATTACTCAATGTTAGTAAGTTTGATTTTTTGTTGTTGTTGTTGAGTTTTTGTTTGGATGCTTTGTATAGTGGGTGAGGAATTGGGGCAACTAGCCATTATTCATTAACCGTTGTCACTGGCATTGCTGTACAGGCCTTAAGAGAGCTTTGTTTCTTGGCCAGTTAATTATAAATTAACTACCTTTGCTTTATATCTGAGAGCATTCCATGAATTGGGGTTCATATCTCTCCCCATCATTTATATCTTTCTGGCATGTAGAATACCAGAGGAGAACAGTGTTGATGATGGTTTCCTTTGAAGTCAGTAGCAGGACAGGGAGTGAAGGTGATGCTACAAAATTCATCAAAGCCGGTAGGGATTGTAGAGAAGCCCAATCAATGGGTGGCAGAATCTTAGACTTACTCATAACGGGCCTTTTCTCCATCTGCCAGTCATGAATGCCAGTGTAGCAGCAAGGCCTGTTACAGTTGGCCTTTCTCTATATCTGTTATTCCCCTGTGAAGTCTTTTTCACCTCTCAGAATCCTCACTTCTCTGGGCTCCCATAGCACGTTTTGCCCTCACTTATCTCCCTTAACTTTGTAGGGAGCAATAGCTAAGCAATTATTATGGAATCTAAACAACTATTATGGAATCATACAATGTGCCGTATTTGTTATTAGCTCGTTTAACTTAGCATAATGTTTTCAGAGTTTACCAATGTTGTAGCTTATGCCAAGCTTGGAGCTTGGTAAAAGTTGGAGGGGAGATGATGCTTGTTTCATGGCTGATCTTGTGGTTCAAGCCAGTAATGCATCTGCGTGCACTCATTGGGGATGACCACATCTATGTCGTGAAAATTCCATAGATTTGTTCTGAACTTGCTCCTTGAGTGATTATGAGATTTAAATAAGGTACAGTGTATATTAAGAAGCACCACAACATCAAAAGGAGCCTGGTTGTGCATTGATTAATGCTTGGCTGCTAGTTGAATGGTTAGTGGTTGAAAACCACCAGCCACTCCACAGAAGAAAGATGTGGCAATTTGTTTCCATAGGGATTACAGTCTTGGAAAGCTTCGTAGCTCTATTCTGGCTTATGAGGTCACTGTGAGTTGGAATCTACTGACAGCAAGTGGGTACCAGAGTGTCTGTCACGAGTGTCTCAGTGACTTTCATCTTTCCCTTTCTCGTTCATGTCTTACATGGAGTTCTTAGATTTTAGTTTTGCCAAAATGAAACATTAGATATATTTTTAACTGACACTTTGAGTTCATTTACTGATTCCTCTCCTCATACCTGTTGTTTGCTCCCCAAGGCTATGCCTTTCTGCTGTTCCAGGAGGAGAGTTCAGTACAAGCTTTGATAGATGCCTGCCTCGAAGAAGATGGAAAACTGTACCTGTGTGTGTCGAGCCCCACCATCAAGGATAAACCGGTAAGTAATAGGCAGCCAGCTGTTGCTTTTCCAGAACACATATGCGATTGGAGTAACTGATCTCCTACTCCTTGTAATAGGACTGCTGGTAACCAGGATCCTCTTCCCTGGGGTGACCTCGTATGCAGTAGAGCCGGACTGTCATTGGTGCTGGGAAGCTAATAACAAAGTGCTCAGTGTTTCATTTTGTACCTTGGGGACTTCATGTAAACAAATGTGCCCTTGTCTTTCACTTTACAGCTCTTTTAAGTTAATTCTTAATTAGAAACTCTGAATTGAAGTAAATAATGCTCTTAGCGGTTTTGGCAGCTGGTTTCTGTCATTATTTCAGATCAAGGACAGGGCAACTTATGTTTTAAAAAGATCATAATCGCCCATGTTTATGTGACTCTGAATGCCAGGCATTGTACTAGGTGGTATCCATAGCTAGCTAAATATAGTCTTCTATACCAATAGCTTACACTCCGAAATGAATATGTCAACAGGGAGCTCAGACCGTAAATAAATGTGCTGTCATACAGAGTGTGTGGCTTGTGAGCCCAAGCATGTGAGTGAGGTGAGTGAGTGAGTGAGTGAGTGAGTGAGTAACGGGGTAAAGGAAGTAGTCTGTTCTTCTGGCAGAAAAGGTGTCTGTCAGTAGAGGAGCAAGATTGTGCATGAGGAGAAAAGAACTTGGTTAATGTGACAGATATAGCAGTGGTGGTGGTGGTAGAGGGGCGGGGGAGTGGGGCGTGGTTGTATGTGTCAAGGTTTGACCAGGAATGGAAAATAGAGTCAACATAGTGATGTACAGTGGGAAAAGGCCCAAGCTATATACCACAAGCCTGCAGCAGCCCTTTAAGACTTGTTGGAAGTCTCTGGAGGACAGAAGTGTGGCCTTGCTTGGCAACAAAGTTGTATGTGTTTGTTTTAATAGGAAATGTGCATGGGGAAAGAGCGGGGTTTGGCACAGAAATTCCCGGTTTGAGTCTTGACTCTAACATTTACATATCTAATTTGCCCTGAATCATTCACCTAATTCTTGCTGAATCTTAGTTTCCTCCTCCCCAAAAATGGGATGAATAGCAGTTTCTCTTGGGTCTGCTGAGAGACTCAGCTGAGAGAAAAATGAATGTGAAATGGTTTGTCCAAGGTTAGGCACTTGTGCAAATGTAACCAGCTGTTGTTATCGACCTTAATCATTCTGTAGGAGTCAGGGGGCAAGGTTAATATTCAGTGATAGATTACATCTGTTGGTGACTTTAGAGGAAGGTTTGAAATTGTTGCAAAAGCCCAATGCTCTAAAGGGAGAGGCTGAGGCATTTAAAGCAATAGAGGAGTTAATAACAGATGAGGATACTGAGTCCTCATGGGGTAGCTATTTGAGGAAGAAAAAGCACCAAAGATTTTAGCAAGCAGGAAAGTGCTACTGCAATTTTCGAATTCTGGGGTCACAGCCAGTTTTTAAAAAAAATATTTTTATTGGGGATTTTACCACTCTTATAACAATCCATACATCAGTTGTACCAACACACTTGTACATTCGCTGCCATCATCATTTTCAAGACATTTTCTTTCTACTTGAGCCCTTAATATCAGCTCCTCTTTTTTCCCTCCCTCTCCCGCCCTCCTACCCTTGAAAACCCTGGATAAATTATATATTATTATTATTATTTTCATGTCTTACACCGTCTGCTGTCTCCTTTCACCCAC